GCGGGTCTCGAACCCGCAGGCTCGGGCCATCCACTCACCTCAGCCTCCCAAAGGCGGGGGATCACAGGCTGAGCCACCAAGCCTGGCTCATTGTGGTTTTTTGAAAACATTTTTTATTTATATATGTATAATATATATATAACATATATAATTTTTTATTTTTATTTATATATATATTTTTTGAGTTGGAGTCTCGCTCTGTCGCCCAGGCTGGAGTACAGTAGCACACTCACCCTATTGTTGATCCTTCTGCCTCAGCCTTCCAAGTAGCTGGAACTACAGGTGTGCACTACCACACCCAGCTAACTTTTGATTTATTATAGAGATGAGGTCTCACCATGTTGTCCAGGCTAGTCTTGAACCCACGGGCTCAGGTAATCCTCTTGCCTCGGCCTCCCAAAGTGCTGGGATTGCAGGCATGAGCCGCCATGCCTGGCCAATTAATATTTTAAAAAAGAAAGTAGAGATGAGATCTTGCTATGTTGCCTAGGCTGGTCTCGAACTCCTGGACCCCTTGCCTCAGTCTCCCAAAGTGCTGGGTTACAGATGTGAGCTGCCGCACCCGGAAGCCACTGTGGTTTTGATTTGCATTTTCCAAATGATTGGTGATGTTGAGCATCTTTTTGTATATTTGTTGTCCATTTATAGGTCATCTTTGGAGAAATACCTGTTCAAGTCTTTTGCCCATTTTTAAGACAGGTTACTCATTTTTTTGTTATTGAGTTATAGGAGTTATTTATGTATTTTGGATATTTTCTTCCATTCCATGGTTGCCTTTTCACTCTACTGATTGTGTCCTTTCATATGCAAAAGTTTTCCATTTTGACGTCATCCAGTTTTACTATTTTTATTTTTGTTGCCTGTGAGCACTTGTGTATTTTAAAATTCCCATTGCCATGTAATATATCCAATGTTTTGCTTTTAATCATAGCCTGTATCTATTGTATTTTACTTTTCTGGTTTCCTAGTGATGGTCTCATTGATGTTTCCCACAATTATAGTCTACCATAGTTAATATTGTACTTGTTTATTTATGGCACTCTACAAAAACTCCTCTGTCATTTATACTCAGGAGGGGAATGTGTGCATGAAAGGGCATATACATACTTCAGTTTTACTAAATATTGCCAACTTTGTGCCTGAAATCTCTGACTCTGATCCCTTTTTGACATCATTTTAATATATTTTACTGGGAAACTGAGGTTACTCTTAGTCTCTGGCCATTTGAAGGATGTGGTTATGTGAAGTAGAATTGTTGGTGTCAGAGACTGTTGCAAAGCAAATGCCTGTTTTCTTCCTTGTTCTCCAGGTTGGACGATGGAGTGCTTCCAGGAGTGGGACTCCTACATCCACCTGGCTGTTCCCAGTATGTTCATGGTGTGCATTGAGTGGTGGACCTTTGAGGTCGGAACCTTCCTGGCAGGTTTGTCAGCCGTCCAGAAACCTCTCCACAGCCTGGCAAGTTATGTCTCCATAGCTGCCCGGGAAACTCACATTTTGCTTCTCCATCCTGCTCCATTTTATTGAACTCAGAGGTTTTCAAGCCTCAGCCATCAGCATACTCAAGTTGGGTGGGGCTTTAGCTCTACTGCAGCACCCTTCATTTTGTAAGTGAGGAAAGGGAGGCCACTGGTAAGAGGTTTGCCAAAGGTCATGAACCAACAGAACAAAAGCCCCACCCTAGGCCTCATGACCCTCTCAGACTAGCTTGTGCTTCAGCTGACTTCTGCCAGGCATCAGGCCAAGTTTCTGAGACATTTACAAACACAGAGTAACTGATTTGGCTTTGTTTTAGCCAAGGCCTATGTTTCTGTTGGAACTCTAATAAGTTGTGTCATAGATATTTACCTTAGCCATCTTGTTGCTAACAAAGTTGGGAACAAACAGTTGAGACAGAGGGTGATAATAACTGACATTGTCTTTTCAGTGGGCTCTTGCGTTTTTCAGTGGTCCCATCAACTGTCTATAGAAGGCTGTGGCCTTCTGTCTCTCCTCCCACCATGTGACCCCATGTGACTCTAGCAGCCTCACTTTTTTCTACTTTGAACCTGATTTTTTTTTTTAAAGTAATTCTTTTATTTATTTTATTTATTTTTCTGAGTTGGAGTCTCACTCTATCGCCCAGACTAGAGTGCAGTGGCCGCTCCTGGCCACCGCAGCCTCGCTTTGTTGCCCAGGCTGGAGTACAGTGGCACAATCTTGGCACCCCATAACCTCTATCTCCTGGGCTCCGGTGATCCTCCCACTTCACCTTCCCAAGTAGCAGGAACTACTGGCATATGCTACCACATCCTGCTAATTTTTCAATTTTTTTTTTTTGGAAGGATGAGATTTCCCTATTTTGCCCAGTTTGATCTCAAAGTCTTGGGATCCCACAATCCCCTCTCCCAAAGTGCTGGGATTACAAGTGTGAGCCACTGCACCCAGCTGAACCTGATGTTTTATTTTCTGGTGGAGTAGGGACTTGTTTAGGAGGAGTCTATGTCACATATGAGCTTCCTGAAGTAGGGGTAACTCCCCAAGGAAAGACCCCAAGTTTCTCCTCAGCACACAGTGAATTCTGCCATCAGATTATTCTTCTGGGGGGCTTATTCTTGGCTTCTCTTAAATTAAAATAAGTTCTAATTTCATAAGGAAAATGTTTTCTTTAATATACTTTTTGAAAAGTGTTTTGTGTGTGTATCTGTGCCTGCTACATTTCAGGACTGATTGATGTGACGGAGCTTGGAGCCCAGGGCATCGTCTATGAACTGTGCTCAGTGGCCTACATGGTAAGAACTTGGGAAAAACCTGGGATGAGACCCAGTACCTTCTCTGTATTAACTCTGCTGGGTTGTTGTCATTGCAGTCACTCAGCAGATGTGCACCAGGGCAAGGGAAGAATGAGACATCACAAGAGAGACAGCACAGCGTAGCGTAGTGGGGACATTGTGTGCCGAGGGCTGAGTCCCAGCCACACCACTCCCCAACTGTGTGATGATGTGAGCTTATGCCTTCACCTTTCTGAGCTTCAGTTTCCTGATAGACAAAATGGGGGGAAAATTCCTACTTTTCAGGTGAAGATTAAATGAGAATGCATGTAAAACATTCAGCACGTGCCTGGCACATTCATTCAACCCATCTGGAGTTGTGGCTAGGGTGCAAGTGGGGCTTGAGATGGAGATGGCTCCCACCCTTTGTGGCTTGTGGTCCAGTACGGAGACGGAGATAAACAAGTAAATAGATGAATAAGAGCATTGCAGATATCATATACAGTAAGTGCCATTAAAAAGAAAGTGTCTGAGATGCAAAAATACCGAGACAGAGGATACCTTTTTAGATATTTAGTCAGGAATGGTGTTTCTGCATTGCTGTTGAAGCTGAAAATTGAAGGGTGAGAAGAGCTGGCCTGGAAAACCCACAGGTGGGAACCCGCTGCAAAGCCTGGATCAAGGCTCTGTGAGGCACAGCTGAGGTGAGGAGTTAGTGAGGAGGAGCAAAAGGTAGTAGGAGGTTGGTAGCAGCACACTGGATTGTGGGCTTGGGAAGGACACAGCCATTCTTGCTGCTGTGGAAAAGCTAGCTTAGAGGGGCACAGGTATGGGGGGAACTGGGAGGGTGGAAGGAGGCTGTGGGAATCATGCAGGTGAGCAATCAGGAGCCTGCTAGTAGAGGAGGAGTAAAGGGAATGAGTCAGCCATGTGTAGAGGCAGAACCTGCAGGCCACAGTTGGGCTCTGATGATCCTTCCGCCTCAGCCTTCCAAGTAGCTGGGACTACAGGCGTGCGCTACCACGCCTGGCTAATTTTTTAAAAATTTAGTGTAGAGACGAGGTCTTGCCAAGTTGCCCAGGTGGATCTCGAACCCTCAGGCTCAGGCAATTCACTCGCCTTGGCCTTCCAAAGTACTAGGATTTCACCAAGCCACTGAACCTGGCCTCTTTCATTTTTTAATTTTATTTTTACTTTTATATCTTTAGGACAGGGTCTATCATGTGTTACCCAAGTTGGGCTCAAGTGATTCTCCCGCCTCAGCTTCCTGAGTAGCTGGGACTCCAGGCATGCACTATTTTATTCTTTTTTTTTTTTGAGTTGGAGTCCCACTCTGTCGCCCAGGCTGGAGTGCAGTGACATGTTCCCAGCCACCACAACCTCAACCTGCTGGGCTCAGGCGATCCTTCCTTCCCAGCCTTCCAAGTAGCCAGAACTACAGGTGCAGGCTACCACACCCAGTTAATTTTTTTATCTATTGTAGTGACGAGGTCTCACCAAGTTGCCTGGGCTGGTCTTGAACGCCTGGGCTCAGGCAGTCCTCTTGCTTCAGCCTCCCAAAGTGCTGGGATTCCAGGCTGAGCCACCGTGCCTGGCCTATTTTATTCTTTAAAAAGAAAAAATGTGATGGAAATGAAGTGATTATCTAGGGATGAAAATAAACAGTATCTAAGAGCAAGTCCCATGTAGAGGTCGAGAGTGGAAGGAAACTCAGCCAGAAGGACAGGGCAGGCCAGTGCGGAAGGAAGAAAATCAAGAGAACATGTCATGGAGGAAGTCAGGAAGGAAAGATGTTTCAACGCGAGGGAAATACTAGGCCAAGGGCCACAGGGAGGTAACATAGGATAAGGGTGGAGCATGTCCATTGTATTTAAGATCACTCATAGGGGATGAGAAGTGTGGGCCAGATTTGAGTGATTGACTTTCAGGGTAGGTGAAGGAGCAGGGACTACTGAAGCAGATAGTTCTCTCTGGAGGTTTGGTTGTTGATGGGAGGTGTGTGACCAAAGGAGGGATCTGGTTCTGCTTTTGTTTTTATTTATTTAATTAATTTATTTATTTTGAGTTGGAGTCTCACTCTGTCACCTAGACTGGAGTGCAATGGCCCCTCCCGGCCACCGCAGCCTCGACCTGCTGGGCTCCAGCGATCCTTCCGCTTCAGCCTTCCAAGTAGCTGGAACTACAGGCGAGCGCTACCACACCCGGCTAATTTTTTATTTATTGTAGAGATGAGGTCTTGTCAAGTTGCCCAGGCGGGTCTCGAACCCTCAGGCTCAGGCAATCCACTCACCTCGGCCTTCCAAAGTGCTGGGATTACAGGCTGAGCCACCGAGCCCGGCCCTCTGCTTTTGTTTTTAAATGGTGATAGTTTGGCAAAATTGCAAGATTCAAAATCACTTCACAAAAATCAATTGTATTTCTGTACACTACCAGTGTACAACCTGAAAATGAAATTAAGCATATTCCTACCCTACTGAAAGCCAAGTAGAAAGAAAAAAACAAACTTATGTTTGCTAATTTAAAAAAAAAATGAAATTAAGAAAACAATTCCAAAAATGAAATTAAGTAAATAAAACCAAAGCATCAGAAAGAAGAAAATACTTAGAAATATATTCAGCCAAAAGAGTGCAAAACTTGTACACGGAAAACTACAAAATACTGGGGGGGGGGGGGCCCCCAAAATGTAGACACATTTTAAGATGTGTTATCTATATATTACTTTTC